CAGACTACTTTAGGCCCGGAAGTAGGATTCGTCACGTCATCACTTAACGACCGAATAGTCTTTCTGTTATAATGATTCACTTAACATAACATTAGCGATTAGGTGAAGCAGCCACATAAAGCTGGTTATCAAGTTGTGAAATGAACAACTTGAGCTGTTTCATGTCAGGTGGTGTTCGTAGCACCTATGCTGGAAATTGTGTGACACATTTTCGCAGGAATGTTGTTCGGTTTAAATTGTTGTTCGGAGCGTTTAGCTCCAAGAGCCTGGTACCGACCAGCCTCCCTTGCTAGCAAGTAAAATCGATCGATCGCTGATTGTCTTGCTTCCTTGTCGTTAACGGGAATACGTTTCTAAACCAGCGGGGCCTGTGGACGCGCAGACCCAACAAATGTATGTATGTAATTTGTTGATTTAGAACATGGTGTGCTACTCGATGCTAATCTGCTGCTACTCGAACACAGAATACCTGGAATAGTCAGTCAAACAAATGTCAATTTATCTGCCAAGAAATAAAAAGATCTCCACACCGTCTTCATTAGGCAGTACCCTCAATCATTTAATCCAGTTCAACGTTTGAGAGCTGTGATGTGCAGCCGTCACTTGAGAAATAAACAACAGCATTGACAGCACACACTAGATTATATTTTGTTTTCAAAACTGATGTGTTTCAGCAGGTTTAACAGATACTTTAGGTTTATCTTCATAGTCACTAAATTGGTGCAACAGATCATTAAGGGGAGAGTCCGGCTGGTAAACAAATCTGAATTGTGGGACTACTCAGTTAAATGCTATACATGAGGAAGCTGGGTAGGCACTGCAGGCAGGTAGAGCTAGCTGTGTCTACCCACCACCACTTTAAAAGGGCGACAGTCTTTAGAAGCAGAGACTCTGACCCTTTAGACAGACAGATTTCCTGTATGTAACAATGTACCAGTCAATTCATCAAACTTGACGTAAAGGAAAATCAAAGTTGTATGATGCTTCTACAAAGCAGTTTGAACACAGACACAATATCTTCCTCTTATCTTACCTAACTGAACAATTACAATCATGCTGAGTGGAAACAGGTTATTTGTATCTAATCTAAGACATGGATGCCAAAATATGAGGGATTTATAAATATTATGCATGCTATAAAGACACTATAGAGGAAATATGGACTACTTATTCAAACTGGTAACTGTAAGTTAGTACAACTGTTACAAGGCTTCAGTGCTTTTATCCATCTCTGTTTTAGAATTACAGCGCTCCCTCGTTTATCGACTCACGTTCTAAAAATAACCCACGATAGCTGAAATCCCCGAAGTAGCCAGCTTTATTTTTAACAATTATTAGAGATGTTTTAAGGCTGTAAAAGCCCTCACTACACACTTTACACACTTTTCTCAGACAGGCATGAACATTTTCACACGTTTCTCTCTTGTTTAAACTCTCAAAGTTCAAACCTTCGTAGAAAAATAAGTCCAGTATTATAGAGTGAAACCAAAGGCGCCCGCAGGTGACGACGTTTCGTCGACATCGTTGTGTCTGTTTGGCCAATCAGGACTCAGAACAGAATGCGCTGCACGAAAAAATAAAATAAAATAAAAAAATATCAAAAAATTGCACAAAAAAATCAGCCAAACAGCGAAAGGTGAACTGCGTTATAGCGAGGGACCACTGTACATCTGCAGAATGGTTTCACGCTGCCATCAGGAAAAAATGAAGCGAGTAATAAAGTTTATCAGAGAAACCAATGATTTTAGACTCATTCACAAATTCAACATACATCTTAATATACATGCATCGTTGTTTTCTAAAGGAAAAATCATAGTGCCTTTATGCCTTATCATCATTAGCAAGATTATCAAGTCAGCAAGCTGTTTTGATCTTGACACAATTGGTCCACCAAACACAAGCCTTAGCACCCAAATCTTTGTCCATTTGCATCATGACTTAAATAATCACTATAATGACAAAAAGTGCAGCTTTGACTCTAAATCTGGAAAAGTGTATCTGTCTTCATCTGTACATTTTCTTCTGACACCTGGGATAGCTAGGTTAAAAGTTTTTTCATGTCAAATTAAAGATTGTTGTTACAATTTGATAAAATACTTTCAGAGAAACACGTCTCTTCATAGTCTCAAAAAGAAAAGGGTAATTGTCCTAATAAGAAATGTGGGCTGCACTGATATAAAAGTATTTTAAACAGAGATGAATACAGACAAAAATGCAAACCACGTCCTAACCTGGCAACATGGGGGAGAACAGGAAAAAGAAACTGCAGTTTGAAAACAAGTATGTTAGTGTATCAAGTATATCTGTGTAAGCATGAATTTCAGCTGCAAATCAATTTTAAGGAAAAGCTTCAAAATAAATATGTGATCAAAGAAGAACATCTCTAATGTCCCTGAATGTAACAGCGAGCCAGTTAATGACAGAGGGGAAGCCAAACAGTCAAATCAATCAATAAATCAATGAACCACTTATGCCACAATCAGCACTTCTCCAAACCAGTTAAAACACCACAATTAAAGCGGCGGACTCACCGAGAACTCCGAGCCGGTAATTGATCGTGATGACGATGACATTTCCATAGCTGGCCAGGATGCTGCCGTCAATCATGTTGCCAGTTCCCTCCATGTAGGATCCTCCGTGGATGTAAACCATGACTGGCTTCAACCCGTTCTCATCGTGGATATCTGTACACACGAAAATACAACAAAAATGTCTTTTTGAATTGAACCCAATGATTTTTTTAAAATCAGGAACTCGTGTTCATGCAGAATGTGATTACATTTTATTTTATTTACAACTTTTAAACAAATACACTAAAAGTGTTTTCATTGGCACCTGAATCTACAAAAATCAGGAAGAGCACAATAATGTGTTACTGAGGTTACTAAAACAACTAAACAGACCAGATAAAAAAATAATCTGAGCTAATATTCAGTGTTTCACTTTTGTTTTATGAACTGTTCTAAAGACAGTATGATAACATATAACATATATTTTAATGTGTTTTAGGAGAACATGAAGCACAAATCAAACGTATGCAAACATGACAACGTTTCTCTAACTTCCCAGACCATAAAGGGCTCCAGGCCAACTGTGTGGCACTTCAGTGAAGTGCACATTTGTTTGTCATTAGTGGAAAGAGATGCATCAGATGCTTTAAAGACCTTAAGGCAACCACTATGTTTTAATTGCCCCATATTGACAGCGTCATGATCTACTGTTGGGTTCTTATATTTCACTCAATGTGAAACTTTCAAACTGAAAGTGGTTTACATCGTTTGAATCACAAGGCTCAGCTTTTTGAAGTAAAAATTTAAAAAACTCAAACGTCCCTGTTTCAGGGGCTGAAAGATTATGAGGGTAATGACTACAGTATTACCATACTATACGATACACAGATTATTGTGTGTATGGTTAGCAGAATTATGTAAAGTGTAAAAGGGCATTCCTCAAAATAAGACTTCTTAACCGTCTTTCGCTACTCAGGTTAAACATGATATATAAGTCACTTAGATAACTTAAAATGTTATTGTTTGGCTTTTTTAGTATTTTATTTGTTCCTGAGTAAAT